TTAAAAGAGCTAATATTTTTTAAAAAAAATGTTTTTTTGTGAATTATATGATAGTTTACATGAAAGAACTTTAGTTTTACATTCATTCCATCGTATATCATTTCATTGCCATGGTTCCAATCCCCTCCATGCATCATCTTCCGACCAAAGGGTATATCCTAGAAACCCGTCCTCTACACTTCCCTCCCCCCCAGCCCCCCCACACACAAGTCTTCGGCCTACAGTCCCTCTCCCTCTCTGGATCCAAAGTCCCCAGCCGCTTCATCACTCCACATCATCGTCTCTGTCTCCATTTCAGGCATCCCTGCTTCCCTGGGTAGGGACCCACTCTTGGCCCTTCTCCGTTGATGGTCCCAGAGACCTCCGCTGCTAGACTGGAGAAATAATCACTCCCTTCCTTGTTACAAAACATCTACCTTTGCATTTCCAACGCTCACAATCAGTCTTGATAACCATTATTCACTATAGTATCGTAAGTTACCCATCTGTATTTCATTTCATCAGCTCCGGTTAGACAGATTGGATAGTACTCACTGGTGATTCTGCCTTCCTCCATGCCCCCTAGCTGTAGGTTCCCTCTTGAGAGCTTGTAAGCCAGTCACTTCTTGCCTTTGTAGTCCCTCCCTCTCCATTTGGGTATCCAATGTCCAAGTTGCCCATCTCTGTCTACTCTGTGTGTGGAGGGGGTGGGAATGTTTCTTGCTGTAAGGATTTGTTGCCTCTTTTGAGTCACTGCATTCATAGGTATAGGTCAAGTTCATCAGATTGTATCAGCTCAATCTTTTTTTTTTTTCCCCCTCATTTTCTTTCTTCTCCTGGTTGAGCTCTGATCATCCAGTCATCCGGTCCAGGTCACGTGGGTACCATCTGCCCGTGTGGGTGTTCTTGTGTACATGCCCTCTCTTCCCATCAGCCGGCAGCTCCATTCTCAACTTGAGTCCTCCGTGGCCACGCCACTGACTCTGGGCCCAGGAGTCCCCAGGTCTCCGTACACTGCTTGCCAACCAGGTCCCCAACTGGGTCCACAGAAGCCCACTGAATATTGTAAGGCTTAGCTCGCCACTTCGTTGCTGCCTTTATCCCACTTCTCCCCATTGGTGATGCATGTGGTCACCAATCAGAGGGTGCATTTCCACTGAGTTAAAAGAGCTAACATTTATAGAGCACTTAAAATACTGCCTGGAATACAGTAAGCACTATATAAATGTTGGCTAGTAATGGTAATAATTTTATCAGAAACAATAGCATTATTTTATTAAATTCTGTGTTTTATGTGAATTATGGGCTCTGGAAGAGAGGACTGTAATTAACAAACTCTTAAGGGCCAGGTTTGAGTATTAGGCCTAACCAATAGGCAGATTCATGCTACATCTCCAACAGATTGCTGCCTAACAATTTTTCTATTCCCATTAAAAAGTAATTGCTGAATCAAGCACCTCATGATTTCTTTATCTCCTAAAATCCTTTGGTCATTCCTGGGATTAGCAAACAGTCTTTTTCAATTTAATTGTGCTCTCAATAAAGGGCCAGATGTGTATGATAAATCCTACTCGTGTTTGTGTCAATTGCTCCGCTCTATTCAGGAAGCTTCCATAGTAGCTTCATTATTTATCCCTTTCCCCCAGCACAATTTGGCTTGTGAACATGTGTTTTAAACTGGGTTCAAAGCATTTAATTTTGCCAACACAATTTTAGAGTATTAGTTTGCCTCCTGTTCTCCCTCTGCCCTCTTTAATTACCATTTATTGCAAAGTCACACAAAAACATTAAATGCTAATTCTGACTTACATGTTCCTGGCCAAGAACAGGGATAATAATTTCCATCTACACAACCTGAATTCATTTTGCTAAGGGTGATTCAGAGTAGAGATCTGAAATCGTAATCAAGTCTTTCTCAAAATCGCCTTACCCTGGCAGTCATTCACTGATATCTTTGCTAATTGGTAGGCAAATGAAAAAAAAAAAACCCCACATACAAAAAACTCTGTGTGAAAAACAAAAACAAAAACAACCAAAACACAAAAAATAAACTTTGCAACAGCGTTCACAAAATTGCTCCTGCCATCAAGCTTCTTATAACACAGTTTAAGAAGGGAACACAATTCATTTTATTTGGTTAGATGGGGCTAATCCTACATCACCATAATCCCTCCTGATGTTTTATTGATTCAAAAGGACATTTAATCAGGAAGCAGCTCAGCACTAGAATCCTGCTAATTAGCAAGCAGCCACATACCAAATGGGTTCCCAATTGAACAGCAGATTAATAGACAATATGTACTAAAATAATGATTCGTGCATTCAGCTCCTAAAATGCGTGTTTAAATTGCATGTTTAATGTCCTAAGAATATAGATTTGTATACTAAGTCCTTAATGGAATGGGTTTAATTCCAAAAAAGAAGATTTAGCCAATAGCTATTTAAGGATGAAACAGGTTTATCTTTTGTAAGTGCAATTCTTCATTGGTTCTTAAGGTTTTGATGTCCTTGAAACTCCAAAGGTCAAAGATAGGTGCATATAGAAAATTGGTGTGCTTCTTTGATCAGCACAAGAAACAGTGGGAAATTGAGGATATTTTTATAATAATATATAGCCTATTCTCAGTGACTCCCCATTCACTCTTATTCCCACATCTCTGATTCCTAGGATCTTGGTTCTGGACATCAACTTTTAATCAACAAATATTTAATGAATGTCTACTCTATGCCAGCTATAATGTGAGCTGTTATACTTTTTTGTCCCTGTTTAGGTTGGTAGCTCTTTGCAACTTTCAATTTTGGGTTCTAGGTTTTCTAATCAGATCTTATTTTACTTTTCTTCTTTTGCTCCTCATTCTCTTCATCCTTCCCACTCTCAAAGTTTTAGGGACGGGAAATCCTATGTCCAGCCCTTGTCAGGTAAAAATTCACTGGCTAAGCTCAGCCCCCTAATTTCATTTATTCATCAATTTACCCTACTCATAATTCTTGGTGGTGGTGGTTCTGTTCTACCGAGTGGGTTCTGACTCAGTGACGCTGTATACAGTTTCCAAGGCTGTTAATCTTTACAGGAGTAGAAAGTCTCTCTTTCTCCTGTGGAGCAGCTGGTGGATTCGAACTGTTGACCTTGCAGTCAGCAGTCCAGTTCATAATCCACTATGCTACTTGGGCTCCTATCCTTCTTTGTTTTCTTCTAGTACTGTTATCACCATGTGGTATCTCCTACTTTATTTGTTGTTTTTCTTCTCCAGCAGAATGCAAACTCCATAAAGGGCTTTGTTTTATATGTACTTACTAACTTCAGTCCTTGAATAGGCATTTAATAACTATTTGTTAAATGAATAATGAATCCATCAAATATTTACCATGTACCCGCTATGTGCCAAATACTAAGAAATTTTGTTGGAATATATTGTTAGGGGAAAAGTCAGAGTATTGCCACATGAAGTTCCAATCCAGATATTAAACTAACAAATCACACAAATAAAACATAATTACAAATAGTGGTAAGTTGCAAGGAAAGAAAATGGCTAAGTTCCATAGGAGAACATGTTGTTGTTTTAAGTGCTGTCGAGTCAGTTTTGACTCATAGCAACCCTGTATAGGGTTTCCAAGGAGCAGCTGGTGAGCTTGAACCACCAACCTTGTGGTTCAAACTGATTTTGCAGTCCAGTGCATTAGTCCATAGTGCCACACCAGGACTCTTATGAGAGCATAGCACATGGAAACTAATTTTGATGAAGCATTTAGGAAAGACTTCCTCAAGTCTATCATGAGACAGGAACTGAATAGAATTCAAAGAGTATTTCCATACTAGACTCCTTCCCTAATTCACTTTAATTCCATACATATTTATTGAACATTTACTATGTGCAAACTCACCAGTCATTCCTTGGAAATCCTATTAAGGGTTGCTATGAGTTGGAACTGACTTGACAGCAGTTAACAACAACAGCAACCATATGGTAGGTACCGTTGTAGATATTTGGAATAGTTCAGGAAACAAAATAAAGACCCTGACCAACACTGATAAGGCATTAGAAAATATATTCTATTAGAAAGAGAAATACATAATCACAAGAAACTTAATCCATTAGTAAATTACATAATACATTAGAAGTTGACAAGTATATAGAAAAGGCAAGAGGAGAATAGGTTAAGAGGAAGGATTTGGGTAGTTTACTAAAAAAATATATATTATACTGCACTTACATGAAAACTCAAGAGCAACTTTTTGCAGGTTTCCAGAGAGATCACTCTCCCTTTTTACACTGTGTATATGGACTCCTAGTGTGGCACTGTAGGATCAGCACTGATTGCCAATCACAAGGTTAAAAGTTCAAATTCACCAGTTGCTCCTCAGAAATCCTAAACAGAGTTGCTATGAGATAGCACTTAACAACACCAGTAACATACTAGCTTTCTTAGTCTCTTTGAACTCCAACCTCTAGCTCGTTAACTAAAAGAGACTGCTGGGCTTGGCTCTGATTCCTCCTTATCATGCAATTGTTGCTGTTGTTTAATGTTGTGAAATCAGTTACAAGTCATAACGACCTTGAGTGGAGGAGCAACTGGTGGGCTTGAACCACCGACCTTGTGGTTAGCAGTTCAGTGCTTTTCCTATGGCACTAAAGCAGGACTCCTATCATGGAATAATTTGGGGGAAATTATAGAACTCACATAATTTGTTTTCCTTCTCTCAGGGATCACTGGTAAGTGCTGTCTGATGTTCAATGTTTATAAGACATTGTTTAATATATTTAGTCTTGTTGTTTTGTTGTTTTTTGTTTAAGGTGAAAGGATAAATCTGGTTCCTGGTACTCCATAATAGCTGAAAGTAGAAGTTACCTGCCTTATTTCTCTATGGCCATAAAACCCCTCTGCATTTAAGATAATCAAACATTATTTAATTCCATCTTCCAGTTATAGATTGCTTCATATATCAAACTTCTATGAGAGCCCTAAAGACAGAATCTAGGTTTGGCACCTTCATTGACTATGTGAATGAAAACACAACTTACTTTATTTCATTTTGATAACCCAGATCTTGATAGTTAAGCAATGTTTCCAGAAGGCTCAAGGTCAAATACAGCCCATGCTTCCCACATATAGCTCTCACCTGCAAATAAGAAAGGATATGAAGTTTAACAAGAATGAATTTGAGATTTGAATGCTCCTTCCATAATTAAAATATTGTTTACAACAAGAATGCCCAAAAGTGTGATCATGGTTGACAAGGAATTTTAATTTAATTAACACAGATAAATGATTAACTGCTCAGAAGTCACTGATATTTGAAATGCTAATCTAACATCATTATCAGGAATGGTCAAAAATAGGGGGTGGCACTGTGGGTTAATGCGCTGGATTGCAAAGTTGGTGTGAACCACAAGGTTGGGGGTTTAAGCTCACCAGCCGCTCCTCGGAAACCCTATACAGGGTCACTATCAGTGGAAACCAACTAGATGGCACATAACAACAACAATCCTAGGTAAATTATTTTTGTATCTTTTAAAAAAACATTTTTGTATCATTTACTTTGATTAACAAAAAATGCCTGTGAACTCAGCAGAACTAACATTATTATCTTTATCTTGTATTGAAGAAACCAATACTTAGAGAAATAAAGAGACTTTCTCAATGTCACATAGCAAGTACATGCATAGATATTCTAGAAATCAGATATTTAATAAATATGTGTAGGATGAATGCAAAAAGTTTCATTGCAATTTCCCAAGAGCTTTAACAGTTTCAGAGTGTGGCTAACAAGTCAATTCAATTCTCAAATTGTTAGGTTGGTAATACTCATTGTTAGTAGGTGCCAGGGAGTCAGTTCTGACTCACAGAGTCCCTAGGCACAACAGAACAAAACAGTGCCAGGTCCTGTACCATCATACATTGCTGCTGCCACTGTACCAATTCATTTCATTACATGTCTTCCTCTTTTTCCCTGACCCTCATCTTTTCCAATACTGATTTCCTTCTCTATGGACCGGTCCCTCATGATAACACGTTCAAAGTGAAGTATCACCATCTTAGCTTGTAATGAACATTCCTATTGTATTTCTTCCAACACAGATTGGTTTGTTCTTCTGGAAGTCTGCGGTACTTTCAATATTCTTCTCTAACACCTAAACTTAAATACATCAGTTCTCCTATGGTTATCTTTATTCACTGTCCAACATTCACATACATGAGACTACTAAAAATATTATGGCTAAATAAACATATGAAGAAATGTTCATGATCACTAGCCATTAGAGAGACGCAAATCAAAACAACGATGAGATATCATCTCACACCACCAACAACAGCAAAGATCAAAAAAGTAGAGGACAATAAATGCTGGCATGGGTGTGGAGATCCTGGGATACTCCTGCATTTCTAGTGGTACTGCAAAATGGTCCAATCTCGCTGGAAAACAATATAGCGCTTCCTCAGAAGGTTGTGAATAGAAATACCTTATGATCCAGCAAATCCTCTACTTGGTATTTACTCACAAGAAATACGATCTACAACATGCAAAGATGTATTCACACCAATGTTCATAGCAGCACTATTTACAATAAAAAAAAGATGGAGACAGCCAAAGTGCCCATCAACTGAAGAATGAATAAACAAACTGTGGTACATACACACAATGGAATA